ATGTAAATATTAACTTGTTAAACGGATAGTTTAACAAGTTTAATTAAATCCGACCAACCATTTAAACGTGATAGTGTAACAAGCATTCAAACACTTTTACAAATTATTTCAATTATAATATTGTATGATAAGCTATAATCCGAATTATATTTCTTGATCTTGTTATTTTAAATGATATGACACGGAAAATTCTTTTCTTTTTACCATTTCTCGAGCGATAAATGGATTATGTAAACAATGGATACACTTACTAACGTTAAAAATGCGCATGTGACTTTGTTTGTTTATATATATGTTTATTACCTTTTGGTGCTTTTATGCTTGAACTAATTTTGCCATACGCAAACGAATTTTTTAACCAGCTTAGAGTTCAAATATATACCTACAAATACCAATACATATAATGGTATTACTGTATCCTTTGTCCAATAGATATGAAATATAATAATCCTATAAAAATCTTACGTGATCCCAATGTTAAAACGTGATTAATTTTAAAATGAATATGATTTTTTTATAAAATTAATTTATATTTTACACTATTTGATCCAGTGAATTTCGTATCACGTACGTACTCATGTAGCACTTATTAAAAGTATTTCCAAGTAGCGATTCCCATTTAAAATGACCTATTTTAATTTTTACAGTTTTCAGTAGAACTTTAGTATTGTATTACAATGAATAAAATAAAAAAAAGAAACATACATATCAGTCAAGCAGTTTTTGAGTTTAACGAGACTAACGAACGACTCAATTATATTTATATACATTTATTTAGATATATGTTTTACATTTACTTTTAATATACATATTGGGTTATAACAAAAATGTACATAGGCGGATTTATCCTTAAAAAATCTAAATGATTTTAGTTTATTCTATTATAAAGACGATGTAGTGACAAAAATCGAAAAAGGAATGTTGCGTTGGTTTGGTCATTTGGAGAGGATGAATGAAAGAAGAATTACGAAAGAGATTTATGAAGCAAAAATGAATGGTGATATCGGTAGGGGCCGCCCTAGACGGACGTATGTCGACCAAATAGGCGACGTGCTGAAGAAGGGCCAAATTAAAAGTACCTGTAACCGGCGAGCGTGTATGAAAAGATTGATGAACGTGGAAGAAGCGAAAGGGGTTTGTTTGAATCGAAGCATTTGGCGTTGCATTGTTTCTGCTTACCCTAATGGGAGACAAGCGTGACAGATATGTATGTATGTATTTATTCTATTTCTATTGAAAATTAAACCAAATATGCTACATTGATTTTGGCTTACTGCAGTTGATAAGAAAATGTAACGTTTCACAAGTAAAACTGGATTCTACAATTAGAGAGTTAACCATGGCGTGCCTATTTTTAATCATGATCAGATACGATTCAAGGTTTTAAAACAGAACAATGCGCGACATTTACGGTGTTGCTAGTATTAACTATATTATTTAACTATTTTTATACAAATTACGTAATTGTTGTAGCTGTACCAGTTGTTAACTGTCCACTGCTGAACGTAGCCTCTCCCATAAGGGAGGTTTTGCCAATAGTTGCCACGCTTGGTAGGCGGGTTGGCAATCGCAGTTTGGCTTTTGGTGATGTTTTAAGAGGGACACTGCTGTCCATCCCTCCACCATAAGCTACCTTAGTCGCCTCTTATTACATCCACGGGAAAGAAAGGGGTGACCTATTTAATGCCGGGACGTATATGACTATTGTGGAGTATGTTTTATGATAAAAATTCACTTATAAAAATTATTATTAATTTAAAATGTTAGATGAATTTCCTTTTGTAAATAGCATTTTGTAAATCAGCATCTTGTAAATATGTTTTGTTTGCCCTTTTCATTGTGTTTTAATGCAGAAAATGTTACCATTATTATTTTGCTCTAATTTAACCTTTACCAGATTGTTTATTCTTATGCCTTAACCTCATGAAAAGCTAAGCGTAGGTGGCGCCATTGGATTATAGAGTAAAGAAAATTTAATGTCAAAGGCAAAGTCGTTATCTCACGTAATGTTATATAGAGATTAAATATTATTTTTTTATCATTGTGGATTATTTTTTATTAGTGGACTTTATTGTAGTAAATCTATTATAGAAATTTCAGTATTTCCTTCGGCAAATTATAGAAATACCAATTTACTTTTAATACATTTTTGTTTAAGTTCTGTATTATGTAAAAAAATTTTGGCGTGAATTTGCTGGGTACAGAGGAATAACACCTGAGTCCTTAGGAATGGCAACGCATGGGGGGTATCATGGACGAAACAGTATACTCTGTTATGTCCATGGTACTACTCATGTCTATAGGCGACGGTTACCACTTTCCATCAGGTGGGCCGTCAGCTTGTTTACCATTCTAAGTTGTATAAAAAAAAAAAAGAAAAAAAAAGTATTTCACATATTTGTTATTGGACTGGTGTATGAATATTGTAGCTTTAATATATAGATATTATTAATCCTTATCTAGAAATAGTCTATTTTATTGTTTTTTTTTTTACTTTTAAATCAAATGTACGAAGTAGTACACAAGAATCTTGTATCAGAATAAGAATGCGTTTAATATCAATGTAAATGTTTAGATTATTTTAAATCCTCTATTCTTTTATGTTGTTTTTCTTTGAATTCAGTTTCAACTATAGACATCAATAGGGACTTGTTTTGTAAAGGGATTCGATTGAGCGAATCTTTTGTACATACGAGTATGAATAAAACGATAGTTGTTCTTGTTGTGTAACTTAAAAGAGGACATATATTTTCAAATAACTGTTGCCTGTGGCGTTGCCCGCTTCTAATTTACTTCTTCTAACTTTTTACCAGAGGGAGACTTTGTATAAAAGTCGTTTGCTTGTGTACATCTGTTCCATTCGTTTTTCAACCGTAAAGTAGTTGTGTTTGCATGGCTGTGTTTCGGTTTGAAGGGTGGGCTATGGCGTGAATTTACAGGGTACAGAGGAATAACATCTGAGTCCTCAGGAATGGCAACGAATGGGGGATATCATGGGCGAAACAGTATACTCTGTTATGTCCATGGTACTGCTCAACTAACTATGTAGTTTCCGTATATTATTCCCATTGGAACGCTTCGTGAATCCGGTCGTATATTGTATTATATACTTAAATGATAATTACGTATCTAATACCTTAATAAAAATTTAACCATTTCAATTGATCGGTTATTTTAAAGCATTTTATATGTGATTCTTTAAATTGATGTAACTTTTTTATTTATGAGCCGATTGAAATAAAACAAACACTAAATGTTAAGTGGAGCAAACCGTAACACATAAGTGAAAACCGCATTCAAATCGGTTAAGTCGTTTCTGAGATTAGCGTGCAAAAATGTACAGATAAACAGACAAAAATTCTAAAAAATCGTTGTTTTGGGTTCTGTTGCGTTCACAAAGCCCCTCTATAATAGTTTTTCTGGTATATCTTCCATGTACAGACAGCGACTAGTTACGATTTTATTATATGTATTGATTGATAGAAAGCAGAGATGAGAGGTTATCCAGTCACGGAAATTCAAAAGTCGCGTTCTATTTTAAACACTTGAAGTTTTAAAATCCACGTTTAGTTATCTTCACGGGCGACAAGCCAGATAAATGTCTAAAGTGGGAGAAATATGGAGCGTCAAAATTAGAGGGCGGTTGACCGTTAAAAAGGATGGCGTATCTTTTTTTTTGTTGAATGAAAATGGATTTGTAACCCCGCCTGCGCTAACGGGATACGCTGGCGGAGCACCAGTGAAGGGTGATAGATGAGAATGAAAACAGGCCAGTTAGCCCATCATGATTGTTGTTGCCATCTTGACCTCACGTTTACTTTACACAACAATGATGAATTCATCAGGAACTAGTCATGATAGTTTCCAGGGGGAACCGGCTTGGAGGTCGACCTGGTTACGTATATTGCTATTGCTATTGCAATGGGATTTTTGGTCTCCATTACTAACAATCCTTTTCCCCCCAGGGTGGCGTATCAGAAATAATATTTCGGAGCTGAGTGGTAAAATTGCTAGATCGGACATTGATACCATCTCAACTAGTACTATATGACTAAGGCTAGAACGATAAGTATAAAAAAAAAACTGGATGGTGCAATAATGCCAATATATATTCTTCTTACTTTCAGACCGTGTTGTCACAGACTAGTTCGTTTTTAACATTCAATTTTCTTATTATTATTAAAAAATACATTAAAATCTGCAAAGTGGTTCCGGCGTAGAATAAGAACTTCTATAAGAATTAGTACTTCTTAAGACGTGACTGAGGGAATTTAATCGTCGAGGGATAGGCAGCAGAGTCCTTCATCATCACGAAAGCCTCGAAACGAAAAACATAGTAAGTGCAATAAATTCTACCTACACACACATATATATATATATATATATATATATATATATATATATATATATATATATATATATATATATATATATATATATATATATATATATATATATATATATATATATATATAAAACAGGATACCTACATGAACTTATATATCAAGAATTGTTGACGATCTCAGGCTTACAAGCGGTATCGAACACTTAAGTCTTAAGAGAGATTTTGCCTCACTCTGCGTGTTCTACCGCTTGTACAACGGATTGTGCTCATAGAAATTTTCAATATGATGCCCATGGCCAACATGACCATCATTTAAAATCGTACGGCTCACCATCGACAGGGAGTTTACTCTTATACCCTACAATCTAAATGGTAGCGTACAACGTGGTTTCAGAGATGTTTTCTCCCACGAACACTCAGGTTATGGAATGAGTTCCCTACCGAGGTCTTTCTAAGAGACTACAGCATGGGTTCCTCAAAAGGGCGGGTAAAGAAATTTCATCAGGATCGACAATGTACGGGTAGAAACCCTAGTATTCTTTCATAGGTTACGGTAACCGCTTACCGTAATGTTGGCTGTACGATTGTTTTCGACCTCAGTGGTAAAAAAAACATATGTATATATAACTATATTATAATGAAATTGAACACTTACGTATTTGGAACATTTCTCATTGCTTTATGTCTCACAAACACCGCCACAAGAGTTCCATTCCCAACCACTCCGATTACGAAGATCAGAGCGAAAATAAGCGGGACAATATATGTCTCAGGCCTCTGGTAGTAGGGCTGATACGTTTCCGAACTATTTAACAGCAGTGTCTCGTTATAGTCTTCCATGTTTCATATCTGAAAAAAAAAAAAATTATTAGTTAATAAATATAGTTCCACAAAGAAAAAAACTGACTTTAGTTGTGAAAAAAAAACCAGTTATTTTGATTTAAAAACTATAATAAATTATTCTGACAAAATTTCCAAAATCAGTATGTAATCCTTTCAGTTATATTTATGTAATTTCTATAAATAATAATAATGTATGTATGTAATCGATATAAATATTCTTGTTACAGATTAATAGATTCATAATATTTAGATGGAGCCGTACATCGAAAACAGCCCACCTTTTTTTCTGATAGTACGTGAAAATAGAATATTCAAAATATAATTATTGCTTGCAAAAAATAACGCATATCGTTTCGTTAAAAAAAAACGTTGGCTGACCATTTTTTGATATAATTGACTTTCAGTGCCCCATTTAGATATACACGATTTAAGCTAGTCATTAGCTCGTCAGGATATAGCAGTGAAATTATAGGATACGGAAGCATAATGCCCGTTCCCGGCATGGAATGGCAAATGAATTGTTAGTAATGGGGTCTAACAGTCTTATTGCTAGCAATGTACTCCATCAGGTCGATCTCCACGCGATCCCCCTTGGAAACCATCGTGGTTAGTTCTCGTGGAATCATTACGATGGGCTAACTGCCTTGCTTTCATCCTCACCTATCATCTCTTACCGGAGCCCTGCCAGCGTATACCGTTAGTGCAGGCAAGATACCGTTGGCGCATCCATTATCATTTATTAAAAAAAAAAAACGTAACATGGGCGTCACAGTGTGTTCTGTGATGTTGATGGCGCGTTTTATGATTATAGGCGATGCTTATCACTTTCCATCGTAGGCGATCCTCGTTTTTCCTAACTGAAGATTCATAAAAAAAAAACTAATAGATAAGCAGATATATTTCATAAACAGACATACATTATGCATAATAAGGTCACATTTTTGGAGAAAATCATCTACTCACGTAGACACGTCGTGTCGTAACATTTTATGTGCAAATTGTTGAACTTTGATGGGGGTTTAATTCCATTCTCTGTTGAGAGCGACACAACGTGATTTATCATTTCATACAAACATCAGGTGCGTTAGGAAAAAATATTATCTTTTCAATAAATTTACCTATTTTTATACAACTTTTAATATACCGTAATATGCACTTTTGTCTGTTTTGAATTTGTTTAATTTGTTTATACATCAGTGGTCTTCATTTTTCATACTTTGAATTTGTAAACATTAAAAAAAGATTGTATTTTTCTGTACATACATGTATGTACACATACACACCCTATACATATGTACATACACTATACATACGTGTATAACGTAATACTTTTGTCATTTTGTGATGATTCTTTTTAAGATTTTTTTTAAATTAGCATAAGTTTTAAAAGAACTAGTATATTACCTAATTTTTTAAAGTATTAAGTGATTCAAATACGAACAAATTTTTAAAATATCAATGCGCACTGGAACATTCCATTTTGCAGCTATGAGAAATATTAAAATAGTTTTAAATTGTTTTTTTTTTGTTCGTCAGCAGGGTAAGGAATTTTTATTGGAACGTTACGTAATAATTACGTTTCTACATAAATTGATTAACGTTGCATTATTTAAATATTATAATTTCTTTTTTTATTCGAAATGAAAAATAATAAATAATCCATATATTTATATATATATATATATATATATATATATATATATATATATATATTTAAATCGCATGAGTATTGCGCCGTTTGATTCGAGGAAACCTTATAAAAAAAGATAATTTAATATTTATATTTTATATACCAATAATAATTATAATATTATCATTATATATATATGAATATGTATGTAATTCAAATACCTTATGTATTTAAATAACAAAAACCTATTTACAGTTTTGTTTTTATTTGTGTTTGTAGAAACCTTACCAACGTGAGTTTACCTTTTTTTTTACCAGAGGGACACTTTGTACAAAAGTCGATTGCTTGTCCTCTGTCCCATTCGTGTTTCAAGCGTAAAGCAGTTGTGTTTGCATGACTGTGTTTCGGTTTGAAGGGTGGGTTATGGCGTGAATTTACTGGGTACAGAGGAATAACACTTGAGTCCTCAGGAATGGCAACGCATGGGGGGTATCAAGGGCGAAACAGTATACTCTGTTATGTCCATGGTACTGCTCATGTCTATAGACGACGGTTACCACTTTCCATCAGGTGGGCCGTCAGCTTGTTTGTCATTCTAAGTTGTATAAAGCAATCGGCCAATTGAAAAGCTACTAAGTGGAAATGCTTAGGTAAATTAATTAACAAACAAAAACTCACAAATGTTTATGTGAAATAACTATTAATAAATTTCTCTCATTAATGTAATTTCAATGGTAAAAATTGATAAAAAATCTTAATATTTTCAAATATTTTAAATATACCATACATTAATTATCTTTAATTAGATGTCATGTTTACATAATTATAAAAATTAAGGAATGTAGCTTTGTGTAAAATTCGATAGAAGTTATGTTTAAGGCATTCTTCCCCTTTTATCGAAATGCGCACTAATTTTATATTTTATATATATAAAGAAAAGGCAGGTAAATAAAGGTGCTTAAAAAAATCTCGGAGCATTTTTTTTTCACGGTATATGAGTAAATGAGCTTGGGGTATAATCTATTTCCCATTATTTCATATTAATGTTGTTTGTATAGGTTATTTTTTCGTAAAATAAACTGAAATATTAATGTCCTCAGGAATGGGAACGCATGAGGGGTGTTATACATAACAGAGTATACTGTGCCGCCCATGATATCTTTCAGCCTTTTCTCATTTCCATCTTCAATATTACAAAAGTTAATAAACGTAAATATTTTTGTAATTGAGGTATTTGTTAGTTCTCTAGTTGTTTTTTTTTGTGGTATTCCTTAGTTCTCTAGTTAGTTAATTTATTTGTTATTGCATTCCATATTTTGGTTAAAGAGGGTTGACGTCAGGCAGGCGGCCGGTCGTAAAACTATAAGTTAAATCCTTTTGTAATATGGATAAAACCATATTACGCCGACCCCAAATAATAATTGGGATAAGGGTAGGAAGATGATGAAGAAGATGATGATTGTGGTTAGTAGAACACCATAATTTGGAAGGAGGGCATTGAGGGGCAAATGCCTTGAAAGGCCCAATGCATTACCTTAATTTCATTCACTTTTTATTGCTTGTGCCCTATCAGAAAATTGTTTTGCCCTACCTTAAACTTGGATCTAGATACGGCCCTGTTCGAAACACTATGTCTATGACAAATTTCGTGACGATTCGTACAGTTGCCATTAAAAATAAACAAATAAACTCACTTTCACATTTATAATATTTGTAAGGATAACTTTATTGGAGATTTCACGAAGGAAATTTTCACTAAGACAATTAATACTTCATTTTCAGTTTTAAAGATACTTCATCATTAATGAACAATGTTTTTAATGAATCAATAAACTTCACAATGGACAGACGCCGTGGTATTAAAGTAGATGAGAGTTTTGAATTATAACTAAACAATTTGTAAACAATTTATGAATCAGTTGTTTAATGAAGTAAGAATTAACTTTTGTACAGTAACACAGGCTTTTGTATTAAAAGCAAAAATGTTTGATGGATGTTTTAAAAGCTTTCAAACTATCCTTTTTAAGTAACTAGCTATATTACGTGGCTTTATCTGTGATCGGATCGTGGTGGTGAATAGCCAATAATCTTCTTTAAAAAATAGGGTATTAAATGCAGAAAGAAAGAATACAAAACCAGCTAGGGTTTTTTTTTAACTGAATGATAAATGGAATGGAAATCTTGCTTGTGTTAACGGTATACGCTGGCGAGACATCAGTAAGTGGTTATAGGTGAGAATCAAAAGGCAGGTCAGTTAGCTCATCGCGATGAATATAGTTGGAATTCAGCAAAACGGTTTCCAGGGGGACCACGGGGACGTCGACCTAATAACGTGTATTGCTAGCAATGGGACTGATAGTATGCACTAATAACAATTCCTTCACCACACAGTACCAGAGATTAGCAAGTAAGAAAAGTTCTTCTACAGTATACATTAGTATAGATTAATTTGACTAAGTATTAAGTAAAACAGGAAGTATTTTTAGCATAAAAGTTACATACAATCTTAAAATTATACTCAAATGACCTTTAATACAATCCCAGGGACAGACAGAGAAAGTCGTGGGCGAAGGTCTATTATTCTGTTTCGCCAATTTTATTAAGAATGTTTTGCATTATTTAATCAACTAAGTTCATAAGTAGACACAAAATGTACATTTTTGTGTCTTTATTTATTATTTATATTTATAAAACTAAATATATTTAAAAAAAAGAACGTAATTTTTTTTTAATTAATAAACAAAAAATTGACATACCTAATAGGTATGTAGCGGAAATATTTATTCCCTGAATACCTGAATGTGACAGACTCCCTCTGATTACCCCTCGTTCAATGGTATCTGTTATTTATTTAGAATATAATATCAAATGGAGGCAAATGTAATGGACACACACAATGCATTTTATTCATATTTCTTTTTATTATTATTTTTAATATGGAATTTTGCGACTGACTATTGGCCACGACAGAATATCAGTGTTTTGCTCTTTTGAGGGCAAACCAATAAACTGAGTTGTGACTATTTTGTATTACTATGGCACGCGCATGAAAAAAGGAAATTGTTGTTTTATATATTTTGCTTTTTGTTTTTCATTCTTTTATCTCTTTTACTGTGTATTATGTATTGTAATTTGTGTGCTATAAGTAATGTAAATAAATTACCTATCTATCAAAATTATATTAAATGTAAAAATTACAAATTTGTTTTTGTTTGGAGTGATTGTGAACTCGAAATATCTTAAATCAACGAACGAATACCCATCGTACGGCTCACCATCGACAGGGAGTTCACCCTCATATCCTACAGCCTAAATGATCGCGTACAACGCGGTTTCAGAGATGTTTTCTCCTACGAATACTTAGGTTATGGAATGA